CAATGGCCCTACCCTGTACTCTTCTCCAAAGTTCATACACCTCTGTAGTAGCTGGTCTAGGTGAATGTTGGCCAATTTGAGTCCCAGTAACTAGTCTTGGTGATCCCTGGCCACTCTAAGTCCCAGTCTCTTCACCTGTCAGAAGTATCTGTCATAGGATAAGGCAGAGATTCTCAGTCTGTGGGGTTTGACCTTTTGGGGGGTCAAAAAACCTTTTCACAGGGGTAGCCTAAGACCATCAGAAAACACAAATATTTACAATTCATTAACAATAGCAAAATTACAGTTATGTTGCAGCAACAAAACAATTTAATGTTTGGGGTCACCATAAGGAACTGTATTAAGGGTCACAGCATTAGGAAGGTTGAAAACCACTATGATTGTACAAATGGCAAACTTGTGATCAGAAGACAAGTATGAAAATACCAGGCCTAGAAAAGCTTGGATATTCATTCATGTACCAATTCATCCAGAAAGCATTTCCTAAGTACCTACTATTCAAGAGGTACAATGCCAAGTCCAAGGAGACACAAGGGTCTAGAGAACTCCAGCATGAGGGCAGAGTCAAGACTGAACAAGGTTAAATTAAAGTCCTGTGGATCTCAGTGAGAATGAAGGAAGTGGCAAGTTGAGATCCCAACACATAAGCAGAAGTAAGCTGGGTGAAGACAAAAGCCACAGAAGGCTCCAGGTTGAGGGGAAGAACCGTGATTCTACAAGCATCTAGGCCTAGCTGTGATCTCAGATGTTCCTTTCCCACCATCTCACATGAGATTTTTCCCAAAGTCTACATCTGGGGGACATGTAGTCTACAGAGATGAGGTGTTAGCACCTGGCTGAGGACAGAGAGAATGACGGCCTTTAGCAATAGGTAGGTCCAGCTTGCCCATGTTCTACCAGGCCACACAGCCAATATTTACTAGATCTTGATATCTCTCTCTCTCTCCTTTTCTCTCTCCCCTTTTGCTTTCTCTGTCTCTCTGTTGCTGTCTGTCTCTGTCTCTCTGTCTGTCTCTCTCTTTTCTCTCTTTCTCTGTGTGTGTTCTCTATTTCTCTCCTTCCACTCCTCCACAGTGATAATGGGCATAGGCAAAATGGTTGGTGACTTCATTTAAACCCATTTGAAAATAAAATTTTTCAAAACCCAAACACAAGAAAACATTTCCTGCTATCTCTGAAGAAGTCCCTGCCTGTTCTTCTTGAGCTTAAGTGGTGGCAGCTGTGATGTTTTTGATTCTGATTCAGGAAAAGCCCAAGGCCACACTCTGCCCACATTCATCAGCAGCTTAGCTGAATGGGGAGGATGGGCTTATGCTTTCTTCGAAGTCATTAACTACCTTCTGGGCTCATCTTCTGGGACAAAGGACTTGCTGTTTGAACCCAAAATTCGTGAGCTGCTGTTTTTATTTTCTATGCAGAGCCAGGGCTCCTAATACCAGCTCCTGCAGCAGCAATGCAAGAGGCATCACACTTTATCATGCACGCCTTGTCCACTGCTGACCCAGAGCCATAGGAGGTTGTCAGTTAGCAGGATGAACAGGGGGAGAAAGCACAAGCGGAAGACAATAAAGAGCCTTTCTAGAATGTGGAAAGGTGTGGTGTGGAAGGAAGGTCTTTGTATTTTCTTAACCTGGATATCCCTGAGAACAGTGTTCTACTTGGTAGAGATGAAGTGGAAGAAACAACCAACTAGGCTGGCCAGCGTCCCTCCAGAAAAGCAGATGGAGTTATCCCCATGCAATCTTTGGCTGAGAGCCCTTAATGGCCAGCGTGCTAGAAGGAAGACTTTGGCCAGTGGCTTGCTTTCTTCTTGCTACTGAAATACTGCAGATTTCTTTCCTCCACCTGCCCTCTGGCAAGGCCTGTATGACATTTAGCTTGTCATGTCTGTTTTCAGAAATAAGCAGGCTACAGAAAGGGATCTGCAAATCCCCCTGTCGCTTCTGTGATCCGAGGACAGGAGGTTATTGGGTAGTAGGCTGAGAGCTGTCCTTCTATCCATCCTCTAGTAACACCATCATAGCCACTTCTGGCTCACCCCCCAAGGACAGAAACTCCAGTTAGGAGGAGGTAGGGTAGATAGAACTCCAGTGGAAAAACTAGTCTGATGACAGGCATGAATTTGTTGGGAAACACCTGGCCTCTACTTTGAATAGGTCTTATTCTCAAATAGTCTTTGCTGCAGTACCCTCCTTAGGCATACCATGTACTCCATGTTGAAGCAGAGGCTATAGGGATGATACCTGGGACTAGCCTGGAATTCTAATTCTGGTATCCCGTAAGCTAGTTATTTGACTTCACCGTGGAATTAATCCCCTTGTTGATGAAATGGGCATAATTATAATCCTCTGAAAAGGTCATTGCAAGGACTGAGCAGACAGTCATGTATTGCATTGTGTGGAACAAAGTAAATGCACAAGTGCCCCACATCTTGCTGTCCATGGGAGGAGTAATAATGGAGACACCCAATCATCAAAAGGTCCCCTCCTCATATCCTGATAAGGAAGATGTTGGAGAGGATAGTAGGCCTGCTGGGGAAGAGGCCTCTGGGAAATAGTATACCCTGGCAAAGTCCCCCTCCTCACACCTTGATCAGGAGAATTCCGGAAGAGGTAGCAGGCCTAGATCAGGAGCTGGCAGTGGGAACAAGGGAGGTTTCCTAGGAAGCAGTGAGAGCTAGCAATTGAGCTGAAGATATGTGCATGTAACAGGTGAAAGGGTATCTAGAAAGTTGTCTTCATTCCTTTAGGAGTGTGTAAAGGGAGACTTAAAGAGGAAAGGACACAGGGATGGAGACTGCCACTTCTGAAATTATAAATAAGCACAGTCATCATGAGGAAGTACAGAACACTCAAAGATGGCATAGAACATGTCTTCATTTCAGCTAAGTTTCCTCTTAGTCATCAGATTTGGTCTTGGATGGGTGGCTCCTCTGAGAGTTGTTCTCTTTGTCCTTATCAGTCCCACCTAAGCTTTTAGTTATGTTTTCTTCAACTATCCATGGGAGACCCAGCCACTGTGAGGGACAAATTGGACACTTGTGGAAAAGTCTTAGATTCATAGATCTTTCCTGGGACTTTATTCCTGTGCCACACATATTTATTCTTCTGTTGTTACTGCCTCTTCTATATGTATTCCCCATGTTCGTGCTACAAATCTTGTCTGATGGAAGACATACAGCTTCATTAGACTATAATCTCTGTGAAAAAAAGGAGCCTCATCTCTCACTCACAGCTTAAACCCTAGTCCTCAGAATGCAGTAAGCATTTATAAGAAAAACTGGTTACATGAGTAAATGAATGTATGTCTGTGAGAATGACTGTCATTTTGAAAGTATGTTTTCTGGTGCTGAAATAAGGACCAGCCTCCTCAGCAAGAGGTAAAAGCTTTGGCTAGCATAGGTGCCCTCAGCCTTTCTAGAAGCAGGCTGCCTCCTGAGTGTCCTAAGGCGTTTCTTGCCAAAATACTGGGCCAACATGTAGTTTTCAGAGAGAATGTTGCAAACAGGGACTCGGGCTCTAGAGTACTCCTTTGGAATTACTACAATGTGTCTTTCCAAAAGCGTGATATGCCAGTTATACTCCACAGAGCTGTTTGTACAGCATCCTTCACTTTTTCCCCACCCCCTCCTTCCTCAAAGCAATTCCTTGTGTTGTGCATTTGACACATTGTGATGGTTTGGAAATGTCATGAAATTGTTCATTTGTTAACATTGCATTCCTATGGTAAGACTGTATTTCTTATACCACGATGTGCTGGGTCACCTCCCTCTTGTGCTTTGAGAGATTGTGATAACAGCTTAGTGGTGAGAGGATAAGGACAGGATGACCACAGGATAAAAGTCCACATAGGTAAGACAGGTGAGGTCAAGAATCTGTTTTGCCTTAGGCTTTTCCAGTGCAGTGGAGGATTTATTGAATTATTATCAAACCCAACCACACTCCAGGGCTGCACAGATCCGAGTTAGACATGGTGCCTGCTTTCTCCATGGTAACGAGGCTAAATATGGATGCGTTTCCATGGAGAGCCATACTGCAGCTGCAGTCCTGCTTCCTCCAAGAAGCATCCTCTCTAGGCCTCTCTGACCCCTTAGGAAGTGGCCGTCAGTGTTCAGGGGTTATCTAAGACATTAAGACCATGTCTTTCACCTTTGAGAATTTTTGTTTCCAACATATATTTCATTTCCCCCAGACCCAGACCCATCAGCACCACTTTCTCTTAGTAATTAGATTTTGGGAGAGGTCATAGGTCAGAAAGATGTTCAGGTGAGCCTGATGGGCTCGATGCCCATTCAGTAAATGATTCCATCCCTGTCTGCTCTAAGAAGCGGAGTTTTCTATTATCAGAGGAAAGGGAATGTGATTGGCTAGCCGGAGACAGTGGGACAACTATAATGAGCTTTGGGTAAACACTCTGTTCTTCCAAGCTCCAAACCTCTTGGGAGATTTATTGCTACAGTTTTTGAAATGCTTTCTGAAATTTTCCATAATTTTAAAGTTCAGTAATTACACCTACAAACCGTTTTTAATGCCCCATTCTATGGTCATAGAATATTCTAATGTGACAAGGCTTTATTTTTCCTTAAGGGAAAATAACTCTACTACATTTTTGAATTTGAACTAGTTCAAATCTCTGCATTTCTTAACTGTCCAGCAGAGCAATGTGGAATGAAACTTTGTTTTTGTTGAAGGCTGATTATATAAGCTGAGTATTAGGCTTTAAAATAGCCTGTTTAACATCACTTGGCTATTTAGAGATTACATCGTGTGTGTTTATAACTTAATCGCCTGTTAAACTGGGTCTTTATAAGCACAGCTGATCATATGGGTGTGTTCGTGTATATTAGGAAATATCTATAATGCATATGTATACATAGAGAGCTGGGTTGTTGCTGCCCAGTTAACTAAGCTATGGAAACTATTTTGAGACTGGAGAGAACTTGTAAGGCAATTATAAATAGTCTCTTAAGAAAGATTCATATCGTGTGTTCTGTGTTGCAGGCCACGTGGCACCACAGCCAAGTGATGGATAACCTGCAGTCCCAGAACCTTTCCATGGACATGACTGACTCTCCTCCCACTTTGGCCAATAACAGACTGGAGAACGGCATGGCCCAGCTGATAACTACCGAGGCCTGGAACATCAACTCCACTGACCTGGTAAAGAAGGCCCTGGTGACCGTGCCGGCCCCATCCATTCTGAACCCTCCGGCTGAGTCCCAGAGTGGCATGGCTCTGAAGGTGGCAGCCACCGTGGTGCAGCCCGTGTGCCTTGGGGAAAGTCCAGTGGTGATGCCCATTCACATGCAGGTGGAGGGGAGCTCTGCACCGGAGCTCAACCCCAGCAGCAATGCTACCTACGTCATGACGACACAAGGCCCCGTGCAGCTCCCGGTAGTGTTGGAGCAGCATGTTTTCCAGCACCTCAACTCCCCTCTGGTCCTGCCACAGGAGGCCCCGTGTTCCTCTAATGCTATCCACAACAACCTCTTCCAAGGGGCTGAGAACTCCCAGGCCCAGCCTCAGCTCGTGGACCTGAAGATCCCAAGCCAGCCGCAGGAGCCCACGTTAGAAGCTGTCCTCCAGAATTTATTCCCTAACCAAGGCTCTCTGGGCCCTCCACCCTGCCAGCCTCCTCCTGCCTATGCTCCAGTACCTCCCCAGGCCATGAACTCTCCCTTGGCCCCCCTGGTCCCACCAGCTACCCTCTTGGTGCCCTATCCTGTGATCGTCCCTTTGCCAGTGCCAGTGCCCATCCCCATCCCTATCCCAGTGCCTCAGAGTTCCGAATCCAAGTTCAGCTCCAATTTCCCCAAGCCAGCATCTTCCTTCAGCCTGCACTCCTTTAAAGGCACCCAGACCACTCTGGAAAAGGATGAACTGAAGCCCTTAGACATCCTCCAGCCAAAGGAGTATTTCCAGCTTAGCCGCCACACAGTCATCAAGATGGGGAGTGAAAATGAGGCCCTGGATCTCTCCATGAAGTCAGTGCCCCGGCTCAAGGCTGGAGAAACTAGCCCACCAATCTTCCAAGAAGACGCAGTACTCGACCTGTCCTTGGCAGCCCACCGAAAGGCAGAGGCTCCCCCAGAGACACTGTATGACAGCAGTGAGTCAGCAGACAGACAGGGTCACTCTGTGCTGGAGAAACATCCCAGCAGTCTGGAAATGCCCTTTGTCCCTGCCAAGTCTCGTGAGGCCTTTGCCATGATGCACAGCTACATGAGTGGTAGCAATGGCACTGAGATGGTCAGCCAGCCCAGCCACCCCAGCAGTGAGGTGAAGGCTGAAAATAACATTGAGATCATAAGTGAGTCCCAGGCAGCCAAGGTCATTGTCTCAGTTGAAGATGCTGTGCCCACTATCTTCTGTGGCAAGATGAAAGGCCTCTCAGGGGTATCCACCAAAAACTTCTCCTTCAAAAGAGAAGACTCTGTGCTTCAGGGTTATGACATCAACAGCCAAGGAGAAGAATCCCTGGGAAATGCTGAGCCCCTTGTGAAACCCATCACAAACCGGAGCATAAAGTTAAAGAAAGTGAACTCCCAGGAAATACACATGCTCCCAATTAAAAAACAACGGCTGGCCACCTTTTATCCAAGAAAGTAAAGAAGGGCTTTAAAACATTTTTATGATTATGACATGGGGAAAGGTGCATTGGTTTTTTAAAAAGGCATCTAAAACAAACTATCTTTGTTAATTATTTGGGGGCGTAGGTGGGAGGCAGAAAGGCAAATTAGCTAGTATCATTTTCTTTTTTAATTTTTGACTTTTCACAAATGAATAAATAAGAGCAACCTATTTTTCAAGCAGATTGCACATTTTTTTGCAGCTTTAATGGAATATTGGGTGAATCAGAGGGGTAAAAAGCTATTTTCATTGCCACAAAGTGCTTTGATGATGTAATACCTAATAAAGGGTAGGATGAATATTTCACAATAAATGTTTGTTTGCACTAATTGGTTGCAGTATTCTGTCATTTGTAAAATTTACATTTCTCAACTGGCATGGTTTGGCCTAAACTCTTGCTTGTAAAGAGCTCTAATTTATGGCTGTTTAGAGACCTAAGCTCTTCAGGCATGTTGGGAAATATTGCCTTGTGCCCCAGAGAAAAAGGATTCAGAGTATGTATGGTCTCTAGCAAATCACTTTTTCCTCTGGGCCTGGGTTTTTTTTTTTTTTTTTTTTTTTTTTTTTTAGTGTGGCAAAGGAGCAGGGAGGGGCTGGAGAAGTGAATTTCCAGTACTCAAGGCCTCTCTCTCTGTTCACTTAGTTCTTGAGTGTGTTGAGTTTTCTTAGTGGGCTTCCCACATGTTAAAAACAAGTGGCTGTAAAAGAAAAAAAAGAAAAAAAAGGTGCCTTTGCCCCGGCATGGTGGCCCTTGCCTGTAATCTGGAGGCTGATGCTAAAGAGCTGTAAGCTGAAGGCTAAGCCTGAGCTTCATAGAAGGACCCTGTCTCACACACACACACACACACACTCTCTCTCTCACACACACACCAAAACAAAACAACAACAACAAAAACACAAAGAAAAGGTAGCCTGTTTTTTTGTTTTTTGTTTTTTTCTGGGACCTCCAAGTTTAGCTGGGAATGGCTACGCTTTTGGCAAGGTAATAAGGGCATTGTTTACAATCTTATAGTCATTTGAAATCTTGTGAGTCAAGTGTTATTGTAGGCCACTCAGAACCCAAGGGAGGTCGACTTTATATGAATTTAGAAAGAAGAAAGTCAGTCTTTGTCGGATTAGCTTGGTGGTTCTCAAATGAGGACGATTGTACGTTGCCCCACCCCCAACCAGGGACATCTGGCAATGTCTGGCAATGCTTAAGGATGATTGTGGCTGTCACAACTGGGGGAGGGGCTTTCTACTATCATCTAGGAGGTAGACCAGGGACATTGCTACTGCTGAACATCTTATGATGCACAAGATAGCCCCACCCCCAACAAAGAACCGGTCTGAGCTACAATGACAGCCATGCTGAGGCTGAGAAGCCCTGGCTAAGCCACTCCTTGACGGATGGAAGCGATGCACTTGGAAGGAGAGAACGCTGTGTTGCTCTTCCGTGACAACATAAAGCCACCCACACAGAGGAGAAACTGTGAGCGAGTGTCTAAAATAGACCTGCTAGGTGCCACATCACACTGGCGTCTGAAACTGTGCTGGCAAGAGACTGATTAGTGCATGCCTGTTTAAAACTTAAAGCTCTTTCTTTCACTTCTTGCAATTAGTATGTATCCAGCTGTTATTGTGAACACGAACAGGAGGAAAAACAGTTGTAAGACTGTTCTTTTATTACCAGTCCCTCTGTGGATGGGGTTACAGTTTTTAGCTGGTCCTGTAACTAGAGTGGATTTTTCTTTTTCCTCCACTTTTTTTTTTCCTGTGCTGTTGACATTTCTTGTTGCAAAGAATGACCAAATAGTTGTTTCTCAACTGACTGGCTAGTCTCGTTATACATCAGCCAGATGCCATATTTTCAGGATTTAAATGGTACAGCTGACCCCACCCCCTGTTCTTCTTCCCAGTGTGAATTTCTGGCCATGTTTCCTAAGCACAGTATGCATTATAGTCTCAAATCAAATAGAAGTATGCTTGTGGACTGGTGTTACCCATTTGCTTGCCATTGTTTCTCCCTAGGCTTTGGGTAGTTTCTGCTGCCATGCAACACTGCATAGGCTTTCTCTCCCAGCCAGGAGGGTCCATGTATTCACAAGGGATTTGAACTGGTAATCTAGATTTGGGGAACAAAGCTTACAATTAGCAAGTCCTTAAAGCGTTAGTCACATAAGTGGAAAGGAAGGCATTTGTAGACTGCAATTACCTTAAAAACCTCAGACCACAAATTTCTCTTGGTCATAAGGGAATTCCCTTCTGTCTTCAGATGGAAGCTCTGCTTTGATGAGGAAGGGCAATTCCAGTTCTAGGTGTTGAAGCAATGGGAGGCCCGGTTAAACAGGCCTTCCCCAACTGAGCCACACGTGGTATGTGGTCCATGCTATTCATTTCTCGGAGGAGGGGTTGAGCAGACATGGGGGAAGTGTGTATTGTGGGTGCTTGTGTGCATTGTGCTAGCATTGGAAAACTTGCCTGTTGAGATCCTTGCACAGAATATTTTTTTGTGCTGTGTTACTGTGGCAGGAACACTCTCTTTCTGTTTTCTCTTCCCAGCCTTTGACAGAAACTGGAATCCAATCCATTTTGGTACCTGCTGGCCAGGGATTCAGGGAAAAGAACTGGGCCCATTATTGTGGCCAGAGTAGGCCCAATGATTTAATTCAATATCCCTTCCCAAGTCAGAAGTTCGCAAATTTTCACATCAGCCTTTAGGGCTATTAGTCTGGAACTCCAGTTCCTTTTCTAAGGAATATGATCCCCGTGAGGATCATCAAGTGGGACACCAGCAAACTCTCCAGACACATAGTTTTTTTTTTTTTTTCTGCTCAGTTCAGCCCTATCTGTAGTCAGTGTCAGGTGTGCAGCCGTCACTGCTGTGTCCAGATAACCCACTTTCAGGGTTCAGCCGTGAAAGGTTTCCATCAGCTTTCGCCACTGACTTCATTTTCCATCTCTTCTCACAAATGTTTTGGACCAGCTAAGAGAAATATCAGCTTTTCATCTTTTGGGGTTTTGTGGTTTGTATAAAAAAAAAGAAAAAGAAAAAAAAACATGATTAGTCCTTGGGAATGTTGATATTTGCTAATACTTATGAAGAAGGCTTCAGCTGGCTTCAGTTCAGAACTGATTTTTTTTGTTTTTAAAGGAAGATCTCACAAAGGTCTGTATTTGGGGGCAGAAACCCCTTTGCATTGCAACTCTCATTTACCTAAAGAAAAGGAGGGATGAAGACTTAAAGAGGTTACACTTACTATCTTACCCAAGGAAGCCCTTGCCAGTAAATATAAAATTCAAAAATGTGGTCAAAATGTTTGTTTTTTTTTTTTTAAGGCTTAAAGGCAAAACTATCACAGTATAAGCATGAAGGTCTGCAATGCTGAAAACTCCAAACCAAAAATGGGGGGAGGGGACACAGAAAGGGAAGGAGGAAAGGAGGGAAAGAAGGGGAAAAGAAGAGGGGGGAAGGAATATTACTGAGAGAATGTGTCAATATCATCATTTTCATAACAGCATAATTAATAGAGCAGAAGGAAATGATTTAGACTCCATTTTACAAAAGAGGAAATTGAGGCTCAGAAGAGCCTTCTGCTTTCAGTTTTTAGGCATCAACAACTCAAAAATATGTACTTTGGGTTATTCTTAAATATTGGGTCTTAAGCCCAATGAAACCACAGGAATTTGGACTCTTTGGGGGCAAAAACCAGTATGAATTGGTGATGATTCTGAATTACAGATTCTTTTTCAATCATTCTAGAGATCATTCCATCTAACTGGAATGCTCAGAGCACTTGGCACAGCAGTTAAGGGGAGGCTTCAGGCTGAAGCGGATAGGTGCTGAGCCTGTAAAAACCAGACTTAAAAGCTGCTAAGCCGAAAACTCTTACAACAGGCAAAAAAGTGTTAGAGGTCATTCTGGCAGACTTTACTCCTCATTAAATAAAAAGGCAGTCTTCCCCAAGACTCACTTCCAGAAGGTCAAATAAGTGTTCTCTCACATCAGTGAGACAAAGCAGGGTGTGTTGGAAGTCATTGGTGGTGCCATCCTAAGAAATCTATCATTTGCTTAATTAACATATTGTTTAATTTGATATGAGTAGAGCATATAAATGCTCGAAAGAACTAATTCCCAAACATTGCAAATAATCCACCTGCCAGTGTTATAGACCTAGGGATTTCCAAGCCAAGTGAGATATTAGTTACGTGCTGCTAAGATTCTGAGTAATTCCAATTCAAAGGAGATGAACTGCTGGGGATTACCATATTAATTTAACTTGTAGGCGATCTCTCACTCAATTCTATTCTCTAAGCATGTGCAGACAAAACTAGGCTCCCTCTCCTGACAAAGATTGTGAAGGTCACCTGGAAACAGCCCCTCCTCTGCTAAATACTTTTCAAAGCTAAGATTTACTAGCCCAGGCAATTCATAACGTAATATATCCTTACTACATTAATAACGTCATGGGGTTTTCTTTATGGTCTTTTCAAACGCAGCCCTTCATTTTTCTCCAGGACACATTTCAGGGGATATAAAGAAGTAGCAGAGTGGGCAGACTGAAGTTCTAGGGAGTAGGAACTGAGTCTTATTAAGGTTTCTCAACCTCAGCAGTCTTGAACATCAGGGCTTGATGTCTTTCTGTTGTTGCGGAGGCAGGAGTAGGGAGAGGTGGCTTACAGGATATTCAGCAGTGTTTTTGACCTCTTGTCACAGGATTACAAAAAGCTCTCCAGACATTGTCAAATTGGAGAATAAAGTCAACTCCAATTTAGAACCTGTTTCCCCCCCCCCCTAGATAAGTGGTTCTCAACCCTCCTAATGCGGCCGTGACCCTTTAATACAGTTCCTTGTGTTGTGGTGACCCCCAGCCATAAAATTATTTTTATTGTTACTTCATAACTTTTTTTCTACTTGTTACGAACTATAATGTAAATATCTGATATGCATTATATCTGATACGTAATCCCTGTGAAAGGGTCATTCAACCCCTAAAAGGATTGTGACCCACAGGCTGAGAACTACTGCTCTAGAGACGGCCACCTGACCCGTAGTGGAGGCTCAAAACACCGTTACTGAAACCAAACAGAAAGACTGATACGGAGTTCTGTGTTCTGATGTCCCTCATATTTTCTGCTCTCCTACTGTGAGGCTGATCTAAACAGGACACTATTTCTTGGTAAAATTGTTTTCCTACCCAAAGAGTTGTCACTCAGCAACCATACTAGACATGAAGCTTCTCCTCAGCAAAGAACGCTCAGCAAGAGTACTCCCACTGGACAGAACAGTCCCTGCCAATCCTCACCAGAAAACTTATTATTTTACTCTCACCTTGAACCT